CATTGTGATCAGTTCCTCCTTTCTCCCCGCACCTTCCCCTTCCCCTCCTGGTATCGCTACTCTCAATATTGGTCCTGAGGGGTTTATCTGTCCTGTATTCCCTGTGTTTCCAGCTCTTACCTGTACCCATGTACATGCTCTGGTCCAGCTAGATTTGCAAGGTAGAATTGGGATCATGAGTGTGGAGGGTGGGGGGCATGTGGGGAAGAAGCATTAAAGAATGAATTGGAGGAAAGTCGTATGTTTCATCATTGCTACACTGCACCCTGACTGGCTCATCTCCTCCCCTTGACCCTTCTGTAAGGGGATGTCCAGTTGTCTACAGATGGGCTTTGGGTTTCCGTTCTGCACTCCCCCTCTTCACAATGATATGATTTTTTGTTCTTTGATGCTTGATACATGATCCCATTGACATCTCGTGATCGCATAGGCTGGTGTGCTTCTTCCATGTGGGCTTTGTTGTTTCTCGGCTAGATGGCCGCTTGTTTATCTCTAAACCTTCAAGAGCCCAGATGCTGTATCTTTTGATAGCTGAACACCATCAGCTTTCTTCACCACATTTGCTTATGTACCTATTTGTCTTCTGCAATCATGTTGGGAAGGTGAGCATCTCAGAGTGCCAGTTTAATAGAACAAACTGTTCTTGCATTGAGGGAGTACTTGAGTGAAGGTCCAATGTCTATCTGCTCCTTAATACTAAACCTATAAATATATGCACATAGACTTATTTACCCAAGTGATGGACAATTTAAAAGAACAGCATGGGGCTGTGTAATTTTGTTTCCTGCTCAGGGGAAAAATGCTGCAGAAACTGTTGCGATGTTGAACACAGCTTACAAGGATGGCATTATGGGGAAAACTCAAGTGTATGAGTGGTTTTCTCATTTCAAAAAGGTGAAACTTCATTCTGGACATCCACCAACTTCCCGAATGGATGGAAATGTCGACTCATAGTGCATTTGGAGTTCATTCCACCAGGCCAGGCTGTTGATGAAGCTCTCCATTTGAAGTTCTGAAGAAACTGAGTCCCAGTGTGTGACCAAAAGGCCTGATTTGTGGCAGAGGAGGCACTGGTTTTGCCACCACGACAATGCACCTGCTCACGCAGCCGTCTCAGCGTGACAGCTTTTGGCAAAAGCCAGCGTGCCTCTCTTGCCCCAGGCATCTGACTCACCTGGCCTCACCTCCCCGTGACTTCTTTTTGTCTCCATGAATGCAGCAGGACCCGAAGGGACAGCGATTGACAAGATTTAACAACATAGAGGAGGTGGAGAAAAAAATGAGGGAGGCGCTGTCAGCCATGCAAACAGATGAGTTTGAAAAAACGTTTCCAAGACTGGAGTCGCAGATTGGACAACGTTAGTCAGTGTGACGGAGAGTACAGGTTCGGTGCTGACCCTGATGCCCCTGGGCGGTCCTCCGTGTGGATGCAGATGGGCTCATCTCTCTCCTGGTGGGCTCCAGCGCCTGGTGCTCCACACGCTGTGGAACATCCCACTGCCGTGAAGTCAGCTCCCACTCACAGCCACCCTGCAGGACCGCACAGCGCTCCCCTCCGGCCTCCCAGGCAGGGCGACCGCTGTGGTCGCCGCTGCCTCATCTTTGTTGCTGAGCAGCCGGTGGGTGCAGGCCGCTCCACCTGTAGCCGAGCACTTCGCTGCTGTGCCACCAAGCTCCTCACACACCGGCCCCTGGTCCCTGGTCCAGCGGCCCGTGTAAACATGACCCTGTGGAAGAAGCCTTCGAAGCCAGGTGACACCTGGATATATTTTTGTTACTTTTCCTGGTGAACTAAGTGGAGGTGCACCGAGCAGATCATGGGGTTCCATCCAGCGGTCCGTCCACACTGTGTTCCATCTCATTAGCACGTCACACCCTCTTCCCACCTGCCCCCACCCCGTGTCTCCATCTCGCCTCCTCTCCTCCCCCTCGGAGCCATGTCGCTGGGTCGGTGCCGCCCTGGTGATTGTGAGCGAGTGGTTCTTCCAGCGTGGGCCAGAGTTCACTGACGATGGGCTGTCGTCTGAGGCCCCATCAGTCTCTTTGTTTGTTTTTAAGAGAACATTTACGAAGCTTTACATGGGACGAGGGCAGGACAGCTTCAGAGACTCATCTGTAGGATGAGGAGGACATTGTGTCCCGGGGCTTACTGCGGCATCGAAGCTTGGGAAAGGATCTGGTGGGCCAGAGAACACAGTCGCGTGAACGTGGCGGCAGATGGAGACACACAGGTGCCGTTGGGACCCCCGGATCGGGTCAGGGCTGTGGGGCTGTGTGCACTGTGTGTGGCACAGGAGCTCATGCTACCAGTCTAGGGCCAGGCTGTATTGGACAACCGTCCCTGACCACCGTCCCCCGTCTGAGGTTGCTCCAGGAAATGAGACAAGAAATTCACCAGCCGCCCCTGGCAGCTGCCCCTGCCCTGCTGTGAGATTGGGCCCTGTGCAAGGTCATGCCTGCGTCAGGGCCAGCCCGTTCTCTGTCCCTGGCCGCACCCTTCAGCCTGCCTCTGCTGACGGCTGGGCTGAGAGGCCCCTTCCGGGGGCAGACCTGTTCTTTGGGAGCTGCAAAGCCCTGGAGGGAACCGGCCCTCAGGGCTCGCTGGAGGGGGTTCAACCAGTGGGCCCTCGGAGACGTCCCCACGTGGAGAAAGCCTCGCTCTTCGGTCTGGCTCTTCCTGCCGCGAATTGAAGGCACCGGCCAACCGTGCCAAGGAACCTGACTCAAAGCCTGGTGCAGGCAACAGGCTTAAAGAGATGCTGGTGCCAAGCAAGCCTGGGAAGCGCCCCAGTCCTCGAGAGTCATCAAAGCCATGCAAACTACAAGGGTGCCGCCCCACCCCGCTGCAGCCAAATCAGCCGATCATTTTGTTTGTCTGACGTGGTATGAAAATCCAGGAGGGGGGGCGGGGCTGATGCACGTGCCGCCGAGGTTCTGCGGACAGGCATCGCTCTAAGAATCTACAGAGCCCTCAGTTGGCCTTTTGTGAGGTGGATCCGGGTAAAAACCAGAAGTCCTCTTTTATTCATAAGGTGGATGAATGGGGAACTTCCCACCAGGAACCACGAGCCATAGTGGCCCAGCGGTTACACGCTGGGTTGCTAACCACGAGGTCAACAGTTCGAAACCACAGCTGCTCCAAAGGAGAGAGGCACGGCTTCCTACTCCCAGCCAAACGCGGTCTTGGAAACCCACAGGGGCAGTTCTACCCTGTCCCATAGGGTCACTGTGAGACAGCATCAACTCAAGGGCAGTGAGTTTGGGTTTTAATCTGTTATTCAAAACTATCCGCATATACTCTTAGGAGGAGATCGGAACCGGCTGCCATTCCTTCAGTCAGCTGAACAGATGTGGCGTGGGGAGCAGTGTTCCACCAAACATCTGTCTCTGGGCGACCAGCGTTTTCCTGGGGGCAGATGGGATATCCAGAAATGGAATCCCAAGATCACGTGGGCAGGGTTTGCTTGCTGGGCAGTGAGACGTCTGGAAGCGGGCAGTAGTGGGAGAATCCTCGCCTTCTGTGTGGGAGAC